GATCTGTTGCCTGGCCCTTGTCTCCTGTTGTTACAATAGAACTGGTAAAGAGAGGAGGTTCGCCATGACACTAGCAACCTAACCCCGGAATAATAAATAGCACTGCCAATGAAACTGCATAGCCCCAGCTTGAAGCTCTATGTTTCACTAGAAACGTAAATCAATAAAATAAAAAATATTCAAGTTTTGGATTTTTGGAGATTTTGTTTGGTTGCATAGAGGATTTCATCATGAGCTGACATCAGTTAGAGAACCACTGGAAAACCTAGGAGTACAAAACCAATACTTGAAAATTAATCGGATACTCACTAGAGACTGGCCCGATTCAGGCAGTTAACCTGAGGTTCTAGTGGGAAGCCATGACCAATGGGGTACAGCAAGTTGAAGATGAGGCAGTAAATCATCGAAAAAGACATTGCGAAATGGTCACGCTATGTTGTGACTTGGCAGAAGTTAGAATTCAAGGACCGGTGGATCGCGTCTCAGTGGCTCAATGGTCTACGAGCTCGCCTTGTAACCAGAAGATCGTGTGTTCGAACCCTAGTGGTGGGTGCATGCCATTGAAGAGTCTCAAACTAGGACGAAACAGCAGTCCAGTACTCCCAGGTTTTCCAGTGGTTCTCTAGCTGATGTCAGGTCATGATGAAATCCTCAATGAAATCAAATAAAAAATAAATAGTCAAAAATAGAGTGAGTTCTAACATTTACGATTTCCATGCCATTAGCACTTGAAGAAATATAGTTTCAAACATATATAAATCCAAGATTTGAAAGTCATCAGGTTACATCTTCAAACTGTTTTCATCATGTGAAATCACCAGAACTTTATCTGTGACGGAATGAAATATTTAAGACTGTCAAATGAACTGTATGATGCCTGTTATTTTTAACTAATTTTTAATGGGATGGTAAATTACTAGACAATTTTTAACCGATTTCTTCAGCTTATATAGTTTGATTTCTGAATGTCAACGATTTATAGAGTTATTTATTATTCTTCATACAAATCAGTTGTCATCTGACATACAAATCCAGTCTAATGTTGAGAAATTATGAATAAAATGTTTTGTTTTGTTTTATGTGACTCTTTTCAAATGACAATACTCAAATATATTGATTCATTTAGTTAAGTTAGACTTAACGGACAGAATCACGACTCTAGCGATCTTGACGTTGAAAACTGTCATTTCATCTTTGTACTTTGCTGACTGACAGTAGTCAATCAGTCGAATATTGTGAAGAATGATGATTTCACGGACAACTAATTGTTAACATTGTAATCATGCGCCAGATGAATTTCATTATTGTATCAAAGACAACGCAGGCTGTCATCCGTTCAAACAACAGCTAGAAGAGTGATGGAAATACTATACGTGATTAAAATTTTGTAACGAGCTAACAACTAGATTTCAATCGGTGAAAATTGACTAGCAGTGGAATCCAGGATGTGCATTTAGTCCTATTTGGGACTCGTCACCTAGATGTACCTGCATTTCTCAGTGGATGACCATGTTCCCACTGAAGCTCGAACCCAGTGCCTATAGTTTCAAACGCCAAAGCGAGATGAGAAATGCAGGTACATCCAGGTGACGAGTCCCAAATATTACGAAATGCGCATCCTGGATTCCACTGCTAGTCGCCATCCACCAATTAAATACTAATTAGATCTGCACAAGAAGCCGATATGTCAACCTGGGGACGATCACCACGGTCCAATCAATCAACAGGAAAATCTAAAATTCAATTAAGATAACAACTAGACTGTTGAATGACGGTTTATTAGGATTTTCACAAAATAATTTCATGCGCCAACTGAATCATCCAGAATAACAGGTTTTCCTGAGTAATAGGGGTGAGACGTATGGGTACAAAATGCAGTGATATCCAGTATGCAGTAGTTAACAGTGATTTAAACTTTCCACCAACGTAATATTTCTAGTTGAAACAACAAGCCTACAGAATATAAATAATAGAAAGATGTAAAGTGGGAAATTAGAATTTGTGTGAATTCGCATTTGATTACATGCGTGGTTTCATCTATGTGGTACGAAAAAAGTACTGTTCAGTTATTTATGAAAATTTCTTACGTAACGATTATATGCCTGCCGTTCAGTGCTCTCCAGAAGCCTTAAGAACAAAATGTCGCTTCTGATCACTATCTACTCCCATGTATCAGTCCACCTGTTTTTTAGAACCGGTTGTACTGGTCGTTCGACGCGTATTCTGTCTCAGAGGGTTCAAGAACACTTTTCAGAATGGTTATCAGTGGCTCTGTAAGCAGTGTGGTAGCTGAACACCTTCTCGACATCTGTCTCAACAAATTCATACCTTAAGACAATCTATAAAGACAATACGCTTCCGTCTGCTTCGCCCTGCTATTTATGCAAAAGAAAATTATTCAACCTTTTTTGTTATCATAGTAAAATTTCATTCTTATTTTGCTTTTCTTAACTCTTTATGATTAAAGTATTTTTTAGAAGTCTTTTGAAGTTTCCATTGTTTCTATGTGCATCTTGATTACAATTCAGTCCTGAATTTGTTTGGCTCATCAAGTAACTGTAAAATACTTATTAATCTGTTCTTAAGCACTGACTGTTAATACTGACAGTATCTGTGACAACTCGTCGCTTTTCTACTACTCAGCATCAAAAATAAGATCCGGGTTTTCAACTCCAATGTGAAGTCAGTGCTACTCACTATACGGATCAGAGACTTGGCCAGCGCGCCATAAAGAACATCTCAAACAAACTACAGACCTCCATTAACAGTTGTCTTCGCTCAATACTACTCAAGATCAGATGACCAGGAAAGATCAGCAACAGAGATCTCTGGCGATGAGCGAACCAACCAGGAACCGATTGTGAAACAAATAGACAGGAAGAAATGGAGGTGGACTGGCCATACACTGAGGAAACCATCAAGTGACATCAATAGACATGCCATCGCTCTAGTGGAACCCGAAACGGTAGCGGCGAGTTGGTCGTCATTATGAGGGTGACTTGCAGGAGGTCATGTGAAGAGGAGATAAGAGCATGTGGGCAGACTTGGAGCGGGGTGAAAAAGTTGTCACAAAACCGAAGGCAATGGAGGTGCGCAGCTGAACCCTATGTTCCTATAGGAACTAAAGGATACAATAATAATAATAAGTGGGACTATACAGCTTATTGAATATAATGTAAGTGTTGGTTTGTAGGGATTTGATTGGTTGCAGGATTTATTCACAAGCTGACATTGGTTAGATAATCACTGGAAAACCTGGGAGTACTGGACAGCTGTTTCGTCCTAGTTTGAGACTCTTCAGCATTACGTACCCATCGGGGCTGGAACCCATGACCATCTGGTTACAAGGCGAGTTCGTATAGCAATAAGCCACTGGGACCCAATCCAATATCCGGCCAGTGAATTCTAACTTCTGCCAATTCATGAGATAGCGCGACCCCTAGCCAATGTCTTCGGCGATTATTTGTCCTCACACCCAACATGCTGCACCCTACTAGTCACGGCTTCTCACTAGAACCCCGTTGTATGTAATTACCAAAAAATGCTTCTTCGCTGCACTACTTTTTTTGTTGTTTTTTATCAACGTGAAATTACCCAACTTATTACCTAAGACAATGGAACTGAAAATTATCTTTCAAGGTACTGTTTTTGTGATGTTTTGTAACTTATTTGAAATTTATTCAAATTTGAGTTCAAAATTAATTGTCTAATGATATCTGTGATTTCTCTTCAGTTTTTGTAACGGCATATCTGGTTTATTTCACGTGTGTGTTTTTTTCTATGCCAGTCGTGAGATTTATTTCTTACCAATTCATCGTTCACGGTATCTCTTAATTTTTCAGCCTACCTTTATTAGACACATTTTCTAGTGTCTGAAACGTCAGGTAATACTGATGGTGTAAGTAAGTACAGCTTGCCGCCTGTAGTCATTAAAATTTCAGCAGTTAACACAGTTATTAAGTGTAATAGAAAGCGAACTCTGTGCTCACAAACAAAATTGAACCTTATTACTTACGATAAACAACATTAAAAGCAAAAAATTAGGTAAATTTTCTAGAAATGCGTCTAAGGAGTTTCTATATTGCCATTTTGAAAAGTTGGTTCACCACCTGCTTCAAAAGTCCATATAACAGACTATACTATAATACCGTTATTCTTTCTCGTTTTATCACTTAACTCCTTCTTGTACAACAAATGATAGATGGTATAAGAAAGAGGACGAAATCATCAAGAAAACTACACAGGTTGTAAGCAACAAACTGTGATTTTTATCTTTCGACAAGAAACTAAGAGGAATTAACACTCACTGATGTACTCATGAAGCCATTAAAACTCACTAAATTCTATGAACCGAAAGGTTTATAAATTTCTTGAAGCAATAGAACGTTTTCCGTCAACACTTTCACACCTTGAATTACTAGCTTGTATTTCTTCTAATTAAAAGGTTTTTTAGGAAGGGTACAAATTAACAAAAAAATGTCTTAGTTTGACTTCGGTGTAGAGGTCTAAGGAGAAAACATTTAAAAATGATTGTTCGATCAATGTCGAGATGAAATTTTTCAATAATTTATCAGATGTCAACTGGTAATTTACAACTTGTCATTACTAATTAATAGTGATGCCATTCTATCTTAAATATCATAGCTGAGTGAAAAGGTGAAGAACCTGAAGGATTATATAATAAGACTGAATGGTAACTATTTCAAATGGTCAACCATTGACCAGAGTAGCTAAGTTGTGGCGTCCCTTACTACAGTAATGAACAATCTGGCTTCGAATACCAGAAGGGACATGATATCCTCGAGGGTTGCAGGTACGGTTTACTAACGAGTTCCAAGAAGCATAAGGCTTATGTCCAAGGATTTATGCCAACTGCCTCCTACCATCTGACAATAAAGCATGGATTATTTAATAATGAAAATTGATCTATAGAAGTTTCAAAATCTGAAAACTAACTTACTGTGGTATTCAAGATACTTATAAAATGAAATCAACGATGTTCCTTTAATCTCGTTTATTATTATTATTATCATCAATGAAAATTATCCTGTATAACGCATACAGTCTTGAAAGAAGGATACAATAATTCAAGACTAATGATATCACGAAAAGATAAGAAGAAAGAAAAAAGCACAAGAAAAAATTCAGCAAAACGTCTGTATATATATATATATATATGTATATTTCCTTGGATTGTAGGTGAAACTAAATTACCTTAAAATGTCTATATGTGCAGAGCACTTTCAGTACCATTAAAAACTCCATTAAGTTTTCGTTTGCTGAAAAGAAAGCTTTAATTATGGAAAAGTAAAAAGTAGTAGAAGAAGAAGTGCTATAAAAGAACGTGTTTACACTCTGCTGGTCATTTCATAGTACAAAGCAAGCATACAAAACTATTATTTGTGCCAATATTAACAGTAATCATAATAAAATATATAAATATATAATCTTAAATAAAAGTGGAAACATGTGAAGCAAGTGAAGTTACAATATCATTAGACGGTGAATACTTTGAGTTGATAACTAATAAATTGTGTTCTGTTTGAGATCTGTTCATCGAATGTGCTTGCTGGTGTTGTTGTTGTTGCTGACAGAGATGATTGTGTTCATTTGGATCATAAATCACTTTTGTCAGTATGTGATCCGATTTATTTGTTGAATTTGTTATTAAGTTGTTCATTTGAATTTGTAATTCTTCTTTATTAGAAGTAATACCATTTATTTTGTTTAAATGAACATCGCATCGTTGGGAGTCTGAGGAACATGATTCATGTAATGCAGCATCCGCATCATTGTTATTCCTGGGGAAACTTTCATCTTTCTTGTTATTGTTAGCAGTTTCATTAGTTTCAATGACACGACCTTTTAGAATTCCTGTCGATTTATCTCTTGAATGTTTCAAAGTTTGGTAATTATTTTCCATTACTTTTAATGGAGATGACTCAATGTCATTTAATTTCAATAGACCTGGAATAAATTTTAGAGTAATTTTTAAATAAAAATGTTTCTTGAACAAAAACTTATATATAAAAGCTTATGGTAGCCGTTTGTTACACTTTTCAGGAAAAAAAGTGGTACCGTTTTAGTTAATAATCCCCTAAACACAACTACATTATAATAAACTTGTAGTATGCCAATATTATATAATAGAATGGTAATTACATGGAAGAATATTATTTTCGATAATTCCATCATCAGGTTCTTTAGTAATATATGCATAATAGTGAGTGAATTTGCATTAATGGTGTTTAAAAAGCAAGCAAATCCAACCCTAAATGGCCTTTAGTGCAGATTATAGATTCATGAATTTGTATGATTATTTCTTCTAATATTTCTGATATTTAGTGTATTTAATTCAATTTTAGATTTTCCCGTTGATTGATTGAGCTGAAGTGCTCTGTCTAAGGTTGATATATCAGCTTCTTGTGCAGATGCTTCGACGATGTCTGGGCATGAAATTAGAGGTTAATTAGTGGTTATTGACTAGCAGTGGAATCTAGGATGCGCATTTCATCCCATTTGGGACTCGTCAGACGGATGTACCTGCATTCAACAGTGAGTAATGCTGTTACCGCCGAGGCTCTAACCTAGTGCCCATAGTTTCAAACACCAGCCAAAGCGTTATCCACTAGACCACTTAGGCCATGAGAGCCATCCCTTGTGCAACAGGTCATATTAATTATTCAATTGTATTTTAGATTTTCTCACCGACTGATTGGACCGAAGTGCCCAGTATCAGGTTAACATGTCCCAAATAGGACGAAATGTGCATTCTGGATTCCACTGCTAGTCACCAACCACTAATTAACTTCTATTGTTATGTTAGTATTGATTTGGTGTTATTTGAACAACATTAATGTTGTTAATAACACCAATTCATTCACTATTATCTGCATATATAACTGTAGAACCTTTTGGTGAAGTTATCGAAAAGAGTAATTTTGTTCAGCAACCATTCTTTTGAAACACTTTATTGGGTATTTTCAATCAGTTAGAAGAAAAACAGTCACTTGTTTTCACTTTACTAGGGTTTTTACTGCATTAACCATAACTTCCTTCAGGAATTATTAAGGGGATTCAAAATTAATGTAATGAATTTTTAATAGACATCATTTCTAGTGAGGTCATTTGTGTAACGATGAAGGATAGTGAACACCCAGTGATAACACCAATCTTTTAAGTTAGGCTCATAATACCTTAAATGATGTCCTTTAGCGATGATACTTGTTGCATATTACAAGATTTGTTTTTATTTGTGTCAAATCTCGGTTCGCAGGGATTCGATTGGTTACAGGTTTGACCACAAGCTGACATGACTTAGAGAACCAGTGGGAACCAGGCATTACCAAACTATTTTTTGCGAATTCCAGATATCGGAATTCATGGGCTACTACATCGGTTCCCAGGGCTGAATGCTCTACGAAGTTGGCTCGTGGCCGCTATGTCCTGGGGTAGTACCTCGGTGGGTGCATCCTGTGTAGTATCGCTAAATGGGACGAAGAAGATGTCTAGTACTCCTTAACTTTCCAAAGGTTCTCTGACTGATGTCAGCTTGTGATGAAATCTGTTATGTACTTTATATATGGTATTTAGTATTTTAGAAAACGATGTTACTTGAAACTACTGTCGCACAATTATTTTACGAAATACACCGTATTTTCCAGAAAGTAACATATTAACACATTTTGTTATTCAAATTTAGCAATTAAAAACTACTATGAAAACAATCTAATATGTAGGATAGTTGTTTTGATTATATCATCGCGCAAGTAGATAAAAATATCTTATCTTATTTAGAATTTATGACAGCGGGAGCTATCACAAACTTCAGACATACCATAAATATCTTGTGTACTGTAATACATTTGTAACTGTTTAGATTTCAAAACGTTTTGATTATTTTGTATTAACGTATCATGAAAACAAAACAAAGGGATGAAAGTTGCGAAATATTTGAAATGTTGTATACAGTGAAGCATACCGTTACTGCTGAAAAAGTGATTTACTTATAGTCTTTTGCCTGTTTAAGCCACATTGTGCTGACTTTTAGGACGAACAGGTCATATGCACTGATGCACGTGGTATTTATTATTTAGTGATTTCTTTAAACGAAAGGCATTGATTTTGCACGATTTTAGTCAAGAAAGCATAATTAGAAGTAACACACCGATGAATAAGATGCAAGAAGGAAGTTATTGCCTTTGAACATTATTTAACTTTATGATACTGAGCATTTGAAATATGACCATTTGAAAAGCTGCAGATTTTCCCATCAATGCTGAAAATGAATGCTAGCTATGTGAAGGTATATAGTTTATTGTAGTACTAATTAATGCAATGTATTATTATTGTTGTTGTGCCATTGGGTTCCTCGTGGAACATTGAGCTTCAACTACACGTCTGCTGTGCTCTACACCTGCATTCATGTTAGTCCATACTGTTTCAACTCTTCTTCACACGATCAACTCCATGTCACCCTTGCACTGACGACCCACTCGCCGCTTCCCTTACGGGTTCCACTCGAGCAATGGCCTGACGCGCGTGCGATGTCACCCAGCCGCCTCCTCAGCAAGTGTCCAATCCATTTCAATCCACTTTCTCCTACATATTTGTTGGTTGGCGATTGGTTCTTATTTCGTTTGCTCCAATACTTTCTTGTTGGCGATTCCTTCCGACCCGCCATCTGATCTTCAGTATAGAACCAGCGAGGGCAGTTGTTGATAAAGGTCTGGTCTGCAACAGGCTGTTGGAAATATTCTTTGTGACCCGCCCGCCCGCCAAGTTTCTGATCCGTATAGAAGAACTGACTGACTTGACGTTGTTTGTATTGAAAATCCGACGGAATTTTGTTGTTGATTCTGACTGAGTGACGAAGATTTCCAGATTGGTTTCAGGTTGACGAATTTGTTTCTAGGCTTCCCGATTCTCGCTCGATTTGACACCCTCGTCCGTTTCGACTTCCTGTAGATGAGACAATGCTCCCTAGATAAGTGAAGTGAATGAAGTAACCTCTTTGAAATCCCTCCCGTTGATGGTGATTGGCGCTGGATGTTGTCGTTGTTGTTGGTTAGTTGGTTATTTTTTTATAACCTCCGTCCTGTCTATGTCCACCTAGAGTCCTGTCTTCTCCGGCTGATTCTTCGACCAGTTTGTCGGTTTTCGCTTGTAAGTCTTCGATTTTGTGTGACATCAAGCATAAATCATCCACGCGCGAAATCCAAGTCTTCTAGGTTTTTCACGCCTAGACTACTAGCTTGCTAGTTTTCTAGCCGTTCCCAAGCGCGAATAAAGACGGAGGGTTGGGGCGTGGTGCTAGCGGGTCCACCCTCAAAACTTAACCAAACCGCTCCAGTAACTTCAATGAACAAATATATTAAAAATTAATACAATGTAACAAAGCATAAATTTTAGAGACCAGAATTGCGGCATATTGTTTATTGCATTATTCTCATTGATTTCCAGTGGAGGATAAGGTTCTGCTAGTACATATTCATTTTGTTTTGTCCCCTACAGTCCATTTTAGCTGGTCTCGCGATTGTTCATAAGGTCTCACCTGGTTATCGTCTAACCTCCTGTATGTAACCTCTAAATCGATGCCTGGCTTGCACTTTCTAAATTGACTTCCAGTAGAGTGTCTGGAGCAAGATGTCAATCAATGGTTTTCTCAGAGTATATCTGATCCATCCCCATTTTCGTCAGCGTGTTTGTTGAGCAGCACGATCTTGATTGGCTAGTTCCCAGAGTTTCTTGTTGCTAATCCTTTCCATCTGGCGGTTTGATCTTCAGTATGGAGCAAAGGCAGCTGTTGATGAAAGCTTGAAGCTGGCTGTTGGGGATTCCTTCCTTGATGTGCCATGTTTCTCACCTGTAAAGAAGAATTGACTGACTTAATACTAGTAGTGAAAATCCGAATACCGTTCTTTATGCTGAGTGCAGATGAACGTCTGTCACCTCTTTCCGATTCCAGCTTTTATATCCTCATCCGTGTCGTCTGCAGTTGAAATGGTACTGCCTAGCCAGATAAGCGAGGGAAGCGATTCTTTCAAATTTCTTTTATTGATATTGATTAGTGCTCATTTTTGTTGCTGGTTATCGTCATCACCTCCATCTTCTCTGTGTTCACTTGAATTCTTGTCTTGCTGCCAGCCTCTTCCGACAAATAGCTGGTGTTCGTCTGTAAGTCTTCCAGTTTGTGTAACAGAAGACACAAATCGTCTGCTAAGTCTAGATCTTCTAGAAGATGTAAGTATTAGTTCTATGCTAATATCTTTGGGACGTCGACGTCCCCTTCGTCTTTGTATTCACGAACTTAAACTAGCCATCAAAAGATATGATATCCACTCCCTTATGTCACTACATACAGACAACCACGGACATCAATTCCACTGGGACAACGTTCAGATATTATCAGAGAGAGGAAACAACAAGAATGCTAGAGAATTTTAAAAGCTTGGCATTCCAGTGAATCATCAATCAACAGACACATCGAGATAGACAAAATTTATCAACCGATAAGAAAGAAACTTCACACACAAAGGGTCAAAGTTCAAGTCAAAGGAACAATCAGTTCCAATAGAAGTAGCCTAGAAGGTGTAAAAACACACACAAAAACAACCAACCACGTCCAAGGTCACCAAGAGAGATGACTAACAAACTCGTGGAGAAATCTAAACGCTGACTTCATCAAATTGAAGTATGCGCTGAAGATGTCGCCTAGTAGGGTGATGAAAGCTTCGCAAATAAACTATTCAGCTCAGAGAACACAACCACATCAAAATCATCATTTCTAGATTAAGACTCCTCATAAATATATTCTGTTAGAGCATATATAATTTTTCGCTTACTTATCTTGTAAAGAGAATATACCTGAAGAGGAAAACTCTTCGAATTGTGAGACATGTTTGAAAATATTACAGAAATAGAAGTAGCTACATTCGTGACATCCATTCAATAAGGAATTAAATCACTTTCAAATTATATGATTATTTACGGAAAAAGTCATGTCACACTATTATATGACCTCTATGACCTTAGTTTAATTAATCTGCCCAAATTAATACTGATTTAATTTTATTATTGGAGTCACGCTAGTGCATTGATTAATTTTAAGTGATTTCTTTTTCTACATATACAATTATTCCACTTAAACAATAGGTGAGTGAGAGAACAAATTCTTCTTAAATGAGCTTATATTATGTTTTATTTTTGCAGTCGCTTATAGAGTTTCCCTGCAGTGTTATTCCTGCCTGCTGTTGAGTATCGCCCTGCGCTTAAGTTCATAAAGTTATTAAGACTGAAATTTGTTCACTTTCAGAGGCACCGTAATTTTATATGATGAAGATTTGTGGTAGCGGTGAACGAATCTGTGTGCCATTAACAGAATAGTAGTGTGCTTTTCATGCCTTCTGAATGCTCTATATTCTACCATCTCTTAAATCATCGATGAGATCTGATAAAGCGTCTCAATCTAGAACGACACAACTATTCAGGACTCCTAGCTTTTCAGTGATTTTCTCATGAAGCTCTTCTTGATGAGATCGAACTTGAAGTCAGTCAAATCCATAGAAACCAGTACTTCAAAAAATTCAGTTTACCCTACTCTTATAGGTTTCATTTCTTAATGAGTGAAAGGAGATAGAGTAAACTGTCGCGTACTTCATCTATGGAGACACAGTCTACATTGTATACGTGTTTCAACACAGAAATACAATTAACTGTTTAGTTATTGGGTTACAGGTTCTATGCATAAGTTTAACTATGACAGTATTTTTATCTACTAAACAAGACATTATTTTTAAGCATAGCTAAGCATAACAACTAAGTCTGTACAGTTTATTCTTTATTCTGTAAAACAGTGAAAACTTACTGTCTGGTGTGTTATGATTGATAGGTATCTTGTGATTAGATTTATCAAGATCACATTTATGTGGTTGTAAAGTTTCGTATTTCTGACAGGGGATATTCATTTGCCTTTGATCAATAGTCTTGTATCTTTGAGTGAAATATTCATTTGGACTTGCAGGTGCTGAGAATTGAACTTGCATTAATGGAACACACTTTTCTGAAGAGGCATTTATTAGGTTATTACGATTTTCACCTGGAAGGAATTTCTTTTTGAATTGAAGAGAATTAATCGTTACTGGCATATTGTAATTGTATACAGGTTTCTGAAAATATAAAATAAACAGTTACGAAGAGTTTTTTTTAAATGACACTGCTTGTTTACTTTTTTGCAAAGCGAGGGATAAAATTATCTAGTTAGTGTAAAGCTTCAATTATGAAATGTAAGTGATGCTTTCTAAAAGAAAAACAAATGAAGTGATTTTGGTCTCCCGATAACACACCTGGAAATTCATTAAACATTATAAAGCTCTGGGGCTCTTTCTCTTTGGATACGAATATATGATTCATAGGAATGACTATAGTTAATGTTGCTTTGGTATCGTAAAGCAAGATCCTAATGTACTTAAACACCTGATGAGAAAATATCTGCACAATGATAAATTACCTTGAGACAAGCAACTACGCAACTTGTAAGAACATACAACAAAATTTGATAATTTGAGCTTGTAGAAAAACAAATACGTAAATTTCATCATGAGCTGACATTAGTTAGAGAACCACTGGAAAACCTGGGAGTATTGGACAGATGTTTCGTCCTAATTTGGGGCTTTTCAGCAGTACGCACCTACTGGGTTCAAACCCAGGACCTTCTGGTTACAAGATGAGCTCGTTTAGCTGTCCAGTACTCCCAGATTCTCCAGTGGTTCTCTAACTCATGTCAGCTCATGATGAAATCCTCCATCCAATCAAACAAAAAATCCCTACAAAACCAATACTTGTAAATACGTAAATATAAAGTGTTTGTGCCTTTTTACAATGTGATTCGCTATAGAAGTTCTTTTCTGGAGCAGAATGAATTAATAAAAGTTCAATGCCATCTTTACTGTCATACGGTTTCAAAGGTTTCCTGCTTTCTGCACGTGTGTTAGTCACCCAGTGTATCAGATGTAAGGACATCATGGGTACAATAAAAAAATATTTGACCAAGCATATTTAGTAATCTACCGAGTGAAGATTTGAAAGCTGAAGGACAGCCTCGTTCGTTAACAATAAAAACACACTCTAGACAATAAGCATCAGAATGGATTTCAAAATACCCACCAAGACTGCTTAAACAGTTATTCAAAATCTGAAAAATTAACTAAATTTTATCAGTTTAATGTTTTTGCTATCTTGGCTTACATCAATTGTCAGGCCACCGAAACCCAAATATATCATAAAAGTCTCCGAAATGCAATTCAAGATGTCTACCTGCTCTTTGGATATTTCTCAAGTGCATGTGGGTTAGAAACGCATTTTTTGTGACAGTGAACCTAAATAGGTGGTGGAATTTAGATAGATATACGTGATTTTAAGACTGACCTTGATATCAACTTATATCAGAGTCAAAAATCGACAAATAGGTTTTGAGAAAAGATACTTATCTATGATAATGAACAACAACTGGGCAATATCGGGAACTGTTGGTTCTTGAGATTCTGATAATTTTTTCCGTCTTGACAGTTAATTATCTTGAGTTCAGTTCATGGTAGTAAGTGGGAATAACTTTGAAATATTTGTGACTGTTTGGAATAGATAAACGTTTGACTTGATGTCTAGTAAAACCACCTTTGGTACATGTGTGATTGAGATTGACTACGAAAACAAAATGTTATAGTTCAACTAAATCTAAATACTACAGACAACCCAGTCTGTGTCCACTTTTATAATTTGGAGTGGTGGTACTATTCAATAACCACTTTGTATACGAAATATTGAGATCAAAAGCCAGTTTATAATCAAGAAAGATAACATCAAAGATTAAAATCAGCTCTGAGACCTTCAGTTATCAAAGATCATTAGATATCTTTCTTCACTACAACGTTATATAAACTGTCTACTGGAAAACACCTAAATTCACCTACCTGGTATCTGAAACTTTAACTGACTTCTATTTTTACTGCTGGTTTTTAGCTATTAAAGGCTAAACGGATTTCAATTAGGCATCAAACTAATCGTGATAACACCACACTGAAAGCGTGGAGAAAGACAGACATCGAATTTCAAATCGCTGGCAAAAACATTAGCTGTTTGTTTTGGGTGAACATACGGTGTTGTATGCTGACAGTGGAATCTGCTGCAGATATGCACCGTGAAAGAATCGCAATTAAGATAAACATTTATTCTGGCCACAGTAATATTCCATATTTTTCAAGCTGATGGTAAAATATGCTGAAAAGTCTTAAAATAATAGAATACACTGATTTTGTGATCAGTAGGGTGCAGAAGGTCGAGTGTGAGGACAAATTTTAGCCGGAGACATTGGCTAGGAGTCGCGCTATGTCGTGAATTGACAAAAGTTAGAACTCATGGACTGGCCATTGGGTCGGCTCCCACTGGCCTAATGGTCTACGAGCTCGTTGGCCTTGTAACCAAAGGTCCTGATTTCTAACCCGGTGGGTGCTTATTGATGAGGAGTCCCAAACTGGGACGGAACAGCTGTCCAGTACTTCCTGTAGGTTTTCCAATGGTTCTTTAACCAACGTCAACTCATGATGAAATCCTGTGACCAATCAAATCCCTACAAACCAACACTTGAACACTGATTTCTGATTATCTACTTTATTGTTTCTATTATTTTAAGTATGAATAAGACTTCAGGAAAAAGAAAAGAACTTTCATCTAAATTTAGTAACTTGACACACTATTTCAGGTATTATAAGTGGATTGACCCCATCGCCGAATACAAGCGGAATAGGTTTCTAGTAATTTAAATACTGAAGTCTACTGTGCTCTTTTAGTATGTGTTTGTAATTTTCCATTCTACACAGATATGAAGTTAATCTTTACATCATGATTACATACGAGTAAAACTAAAAACCTTTTCATTTTAATGATTTATGTTGCTTGATTTTGTTATTTTAGCTTCGTTAATTAATGAATCAATGATTTTGTCTTTCAGTGGTATATAAATAAGTTTATCTATACTATGTATGACACACCTGTATAACATATCGGTTTCTTAAAGTTTTCAAGTTTCCTCTGATTTTAATAGACCACGTCTTTCTGTGTTTTAATTAATAGAATTCAACACTAATTAAAAATTACGCCTTCAATAAATAAATTTCATGAATTATCATGAAAATTAGCGAAAAAGAGATGTGACAAACACTTTCGTAGGCGTTATTAAGCATCTTCTGAATACAAATGAGACAAATGATTCACTACATAACTCGGTTAGCCATATTGTCCCTCAGCTGCTAAAAAGTATAAAGATGAAATAAATCTTCAACTTCAGTCATTACTGATCATCCCGAATGCAGTCTATCAATCCGATCATCAGTCAAAAATGTATTTGATTGGACATGTTCTTACCTGTACACTACTCACCCACTGGGGTTCGAACCCAGGACCTCCTGATAACTAGGCAAGCTCATGTACCATGCAGTCACTGGGACCCGATTCAATGGCGTACTGCTGATGATTTCCAAACTAGGATGAAACAGCTTTCCAGTACCCACTGGTTTTCAGTGATTCTCTAACTGATATCCATCCGTGATTAACTCGTAAAAGCAAATGTCATCCTTACAAACGAACCATAGAAAATTAATCTGATATCCGCCAGTGACTTGCTGCAGGACGGAGTTTCCTGGAGTTTTAGTGAGAATTCGTGACCAGTGAGGTCCATCCAGTCAAGTGGGAGGGTGGAGTTCCCACCGACGACATTGAATGGGGTCGTGGTATGTCACGAATTTGCAGAAGTTAGAATTCATAGGCCGTTGAATTGGGTGCAAGTGGCTGAATGGTATACGAGCTTGCCTTGTAACCGAAAGGTCCTGGGTTCTAACCCCAGTGGGTGCGTACTGCCGTTGAGTCGCGAACTACGATGAAACAGCTCTCCAGTACTTTCTGGTTTTCAGTGGTTCTCTAACTGATATCAATCCATGATCAACTCGTACAAGCAAATCTCATTTTCACAAACTAACTATAAAAAATGTTTTATCTCACTTATTGGTCAAAACTTGACATGTATTAGCTGATTTCACGCCATCTTATCTATCTGATATGTTTTAGGCTTTCATATTCAATCTGTGAAATAAAATCTCTTAGTATAATAACGTCTTACAACATTGTATCTTGCTTCCACTTAGTCTGTTGAAGTCCCTCACTTGTCTGATAAATTCCTCACATTCATGATGATACTAGTAGCTATCCCTCAGAAAGGTTTGGGTTTAGTTCATTTACATGCGTGCAAGGTTTTTCGTAGATAAAAACCGTCTTATCTGCTACATTCTCCTTCATTTGCACAATTCTGACGGTTTCCGTACGCTGTTACATCTTTAAAGCTTACCAAAGTACAGCGTAAAATAATCGTCCTAAACAAATGCATATTAGACAGAGGAATCCCAAATAGTGGTATGGAAAATGGTTAAACTACTATAAACAGTTTCTCAAGCAAAATCACTTAGCACCCTAGAAGTTATTTAAAACCTATAATATTACTAAATTTATGCAACACATATCAATATGAAATTATATAAAAATCATAATTTACTGTTTCCATATCCATGTTAAATGTAGTAAGATCCTTAGGACAGAATCTAAGCTGATGAGGTGATCCCATATTTGAATCAGCATTTGTATCATACTTGATAAATGCTGAGTACAGATTTTGACTGTTATTGTTATTGTTGTTGCTGTTGCTGTTCCCGCTGAGATGATCCACTTTTTCAAGTGTTCGATATTTAGTTGGTGAATAAGTATTATTCATATTAGAGATACGATGAGTGTTCATAGACAACTGGCTACTACCACACTGATCTGTACTGTATAAATTCATTGTTTCATTTAAATGATTTGATGGTTGTCTAATTTCATATGTTGCCATCTTTTGTCGAGTCAATGTTATAGCAACAAGAAAAGCGAATGCCACCAAAGTTGATATTGCAATTAAACAAATAATAATGATCCATATTTTTTCTAAATTGAATTGTGTTGATGCCTTTTGATTTGATATTGCAGAAATTTTTTCTTTTCTGCGTATATTGTCATTTGTACTGAGTGAACTAGATGCGATTGGCTGAGCGTAGATGGAATCAGAGCCATGTTTATTGCTAATATCTTGTCTCAGTTGACTAGCATCATTCTCTTTCTTTACGGAGGCGTAGATGATTGATTCGTCATCAGTTTTATGCATCGGTGAACGATAAGCATTTCGTGATTGTAATAATTCCATATTTGAATACTGATATTTTCCATTGTTGAATGATGCCAGTGGTGGTGAATTATGGTCTAATATGATATTAATATTTGCGTAGCCTGAAAGACTTGGTGTACCAGAATCACGTACCTTTAAGGTTTAAAAATAAAATAATAAAAGAAATTCAGTTTCGCTTAGTTGGTCAGTTACTAAGTGTCTATAGTGAAACGCTGTGGTTCAAAATTAGCGAAAGAAATATGTTTGAAATTTCTGAAAAGGGCCTCTTTAAACCTGAAAGTCCAAATTCCAACATATGGGTTATTGTTTTCCAAGTTGTTGTATAGTAGACAAATTGTCTCTGCAGTCGGGACATTTGGGAAGGGAGACTCGACACTGATTGACAAAAGGAATTTGTCACTTACATTGAAATCTTTAGTACGGTCAACGAATGCAAACGAGTCTCGAAGAGAGTACCTTAAAATTCGTTCTCTAACAGACCGTAGGAGTTCTAGCAATAATTCTGCTAAGTCAGGCGCAATGTTAGTACTTGTTTATTTGATTTCAGTAATCTATACAACAGAAGTATCCCTGGACCGGATGGTCAAATGTTTTCGTAGATATCTCTGCAGAGAAGTCAAATCTCTTGTTAACCTTCTCAGTACCTCGATGAGTTACATTTGAATTATTTTTTTCATCTTTCTCTTCGCTAGATGTGGAAAACTTGTTGTCTGAAAGAGCCAGCGAAATGTTGTCAATATAGACTTTTATATCAGTGTAAATGACATAATCATGGTTTCCTTCGATGTGACCCAGATCCCTCTGCATGAGACAATAGACATCTTCTCGTCAACACTCTGATCCTCTTCCTCTACAAAACTGGAATTTAAGTAGCTTCTAGTGTTATGCATTAATGATATACAATTCAGTTTGACAAAAAAACGTATCGCCAGATTAATGCTGTGGCGATGGGGGAGTCCATCGGGCCCGATATTAGCTGATATCTTTATGGCCAGTCTAGAGCAGACAAAGCTCAAGTGTGCAACTGGAGAAACAACAGCCTACTATAGATACGTTGACGACACATTCATTGCATGCAATGATTTGAGTCAAGCTTCGTCTCTATTAGACTCTTTCAACAATGTACACAAAGCATCACTTTCACGATGGAGCATGAAGATAATGAAAAATTCCATTTTTTCGACGTAAAGCTGGAAAAAAAATACGACGGGACACTCGAAAGTTCTGTATATCGTAAAGACACATGGACTGGTCTTTACTTGAATTTCAACAGCTTCTTCTCAGTGAGATACAAACGAACGCTGGTGAAAACGCTTTTCTCTAGAGTGAAGAGAATATGCTCACCAACATACTAGACAGTAAACTAATGCTTCTTGAAAAATGCTTGAAAGAAAATGGTCACCCACAAAGTTTCTTTAGCAAGTATGGCAAAAATAAACTCAAGAAGCTTGATACGGCCACAGTCAGTAAGAAGCCTATTTTCATCAAACTCTACTACAAGGGCGACGACATTAGGAGAATTGTAAATAAACGATTAAGCGCAACCCTGTATAGGACGTATCCTGCAGCGTTATTAGTCTCTCTATCCCAAACAACTTCCACACCGGTGCAGTCAAAGATTAACAAGTACCCCTCACATGTTACCTACAACTCTGTATACCAATTCACATGTATCTACGGGAGCAGTTACATTGGAAGAAAAGAGAGGAGGGCCTACGTCAGATTCTGCGAAAATGTACCAAGGAGCTTCCTGTTGAAGGGACCGAATTGTTTAAGCTCTTCAATCGTCAAACACCTGATTGACACAGGACACCGAGTAGATGTTCTGGAATCATTCAAAATAATCAACAGACAGAGTACCTCAAGTCTTCTCAGTTTTGCTGAAGCTATAAAAATAAAACGATTGAAGCCTGATTTATGTGTCCAAAAAGAATCCGTTGTTGGAATTCAATTACCCTGGTGACTCACTTCTTATTAACTCTTTGTTTTCTAATTTTGTTAGCTTATTTTTTCACTCCACCCCCTCCCTTTATTTTTCGCTTGACTTTCTTAAGAGATAATTTTTCTTGATCATCTGAGTTCTACTCACTGTATTACATTATTAATTTCTCATCTGACTTCATGTGCACCAAAATTATAAAATTTTGATCTTCTCTTATCTAATCACTTAACTATCGCTAATTTTCTTTTGTTACCACCCCAACAACACAACAGTTAGAAACTTCTCTCTACCAAGATATATATATATTTATATGAATGGCGTAACACTTTAGACACCCTGTAAATCTCAACGCCTTATTTTACTATGACGCTTTGATAGTATGCTTGCTAATGGACAAAGTTTGTTAAAATTGTATACTTTTTATTATTAAAAAAAATTCAGGTTGTACGCAGCTGGTGAGAACCAACGAAATAAAATGAATCCAGATTATTCTGCGCCAATGTCTCTTCTTTCGTTGTTCAAATTTATAAAAGGGAATAATTGTATGAAACTTTTATATCCATTGGGTTCATGCCTGTACCTTTGAGAGAGCATCTGTTAAGCAATTCCCCGATAAGTCTCAATCGATGTCATGTTCTCTAAGCTGCTTAGTCAAAAGATTATTGTACTTAGAGACTTTGTATTGAGACAATGATGGCATGACTCTAGAAGTGTTCACCTAAAACGTTTGAACTCCTCGTAAGAATCTTGAACAAGATCATTAATCTGAATGATTAAGCTCCATATATATGTTGAGTTTGAAATTTCTACTCCATTAACATGTTTTCTGTTAACTTAAGTAGAATAATATAGTCTCAGATACAATGAACATATTATCATTAGGTTGTAAAATCATCGAATATCTGTTCGAATTTGTGTAGATATAATATTGGCATTTTTTTCTAAAGATATGCTTCCACGTGACTCTTTTTGTTTTTGTTGGGATAATGAAGAATATAAATCAAAAGGAACCAAACGAATGTAGAAATTATAAAACAACATATTACCCACTGACTAAGATAAGTAGCTGTGTACAACCAGTTTGTGCTTTTTTCTAGTTGAATTACTATTAATCAAATTCAGGATTTGAAAATGGTTCTGCAGTCTACACAATTCGAGGTGATTACGTCACTATGGTTTTCTTTGAAAACTGAAATTGTTTAGATCACAATATGTGACTCACCTCAAAGAGCCAAATCAGTTCACACCACTTGGTTAGATCATCTCAGACTGTGTGAATCGCTTATGAATTTGAAAAATTGTGAACTAATTTGCGAATTGTAAATTTTGTTGAATATAGAAATTAAATTTTTTTAAATTACTTAGAAAGATAAGTAGAAATATGACAATTGTTTGCTAACATTTTGATGAATCACTTCTAGTTAAAGATGATTACAAATACAGGATATATCTTCTTGATAAAACGTGTTGGAAGCTCGCCTATCGTACTTGCTGGCTAGTTTTCTAGCCTGTTCCAGGCCTGGGAAAACAGAGAGGTTTGGGCGTGAAGCTAGCGACCCTTACTCGGAAAATCAGTCAAAATGCTAAAGAAACTTCAGCGCAAAAGAAATATACTTAAAATACAAAAAAGTTCAGAAAGCAACATTATTCTTCTCTGGAATCGGAGAGGCGAAGTGACACAGGCTGGCGAAGTCGTTCAGGAAACCAGCCAGCCGATTTGTCCTCTCTCGATGAAAGCAGGAATAAGAATGTTGAAGTAGAATATTCATAATATTTACAGAGTTGGGAAGGCTACCTGGTTATCCAAAGAAATGAGGAGATATGGCATAGAAGTGCCGGGTATCTGAAAAGCAGATGGAATGGCAGTGGATTGTCAACATTTTCAAATGAAGGGCCAGTAATTTACTCCGGTCACCCAGACGACAACCACCAACAAACTGAGGCATTTAGTGGCTATCATCACGTCACCGATAATAGTCAAAGCTCTAATGCACTGGAAACCTATCTCCTATTGAGGAATCATGAAAGCGGAGTTCAACTCAAAAGGAAGGAAAGTCACAATCATCCAATGCTGCAGACAGTGCTAAAAACAACGCAGAACATGGGAAGAAGAAAGATTTCTAGAGACAAATGCAAACAGTAACGGAAAACATCCCGAATGGGAACATCACAATGTTTATGAGCAATATGAATGCCAGCCAAACTGGGGACAAATAACACAGGAGGAGGTTGTCGTAGAAATGAATGACAATGGAGAACTCTTCGCATACTTCTGAGCTTTCAATGATTTTGTTATCTGAGGAAGCGTGTAAAAACGCAAGGATATACAACATGGATTTCGCCTAACGGACACAGCTCAAGGGAGTGGTGACGCAGTCGGTCTGCTGAACAAAAAGTCGAGAGGGAAAGCAGAGGTGAGCGGGATCAGACCATTATCTAGTTTAAGGAACCTTCAAAGTGAAGCTGAAATCCCTCAGACTGGAGTGAGACCACTGTGATTCAAGTTCATCATTCAGAAAATGAAAGACGCAACTGCAAGAGATAGCTTCATTACCGATATCACAGCAAAGTTGGAGAAACTCTGTGACATTACTGAGGATACCTGCGTGTAACAACAGAAGACAAGGACCAGACAACAGATACTTTATTAAGGAAATCAACACGTATCTATATATTTTCATGTACATTATTATTGCTTATTCACGCAAACAAACACAGTCTTCTGATTGGTTGTTTCCCACAGAAAGTTGACCTTGCATCTCCTTGTGACTGTTTCTTGAATGTCAGGTCATCTATATGTTAACTGTATCTGCCTACGCCAAGTCTGCTGTGATTGGTTGTTGAATCAGTCTTGTTCATATTTTCTCATGACCAACGTTTGCGACCTAACCATTGACGTAAATAATTGTCTACCAATTTGGCTAGCCTGCTCTCACCACATGCGTGGTAGAACATTAAAATTCTCTGAAGACGATATTCAAGGAAACGTGTACACATTTTCTGCGGAGAAAGAACAATCGCGACAAAGAATAGCTCTAAACGGATACATGGAAGCTAATCGAGGAGAGGAGGGTGGTCAAAGAGGAGATGACTGAATGCAAAGGTGGAATACAGATGGAGAAACTGAGTTCATTGTACACTGCACTGAATAAAGAAGCTAAAAAGAGTACAAGAAAGACGAAAGAGAATTCTACGCTACACTGGCTGTCAGCTGGAAGCAGAAGAGGCGGGCTGCAGTGAAAGAGATCACAGGACATTATATTATATAACTACACCTCTATCCGGGAAGAGATCAACACATATGAAATCTACTAAGTGGTCAAGGAAACCTGATTACCAATAAGAAGAGACAAATGAAACAATGGGTTGATCACCACTAAACAATAGAAAATTAAGTCTTTGCAAAAACTGTCGTGAAATCATGCTTTTATCTACACCAGATAAAATAATAAGTCATTTCATCGTGGAGAAAATAAAAGAAGCACTGGATGCAGAACTCTATCAGCACGGAACAAGCTGGATTCAGGAAAGTCGAATCATGTGATGATGAAATTGCAACTGCACGCATGGTCGTCAAACCCTTCTCTGCCTTGACTTCGAGAAGGCCTTCAAAATCGTTGACTTGTAATCTGCTTTAACACTACGGAGTGCAGTGCCCATTTCTCTATCAACCTCCTTCAATAGCTGTACGATATTGACACGTGCCAAGTGAACCACAACGAAGAACTCAGAGAGGCGTTTGAAGTGCATACAGGAGTAAGACAGAGCAAGCTGCTTATTATTATCAATGATGCTATTCTTAATTGTGGTGGACTGGATTGTGCGCCAGACTATGCACAGGGAGTGAGAAGACAAGAATACACTGGACCACGGATAATACGACTCTAGAAGATCTGGATTTCACAGATGATATACGTCCGACCTCCCACAAACTCGAAGACTTGCAGGCGAAAACCAACAAACTGGCTGAAGTGGTCGGCAGCAAAGACAGGACTTGAGGTGAACATACAGAAGACGGAGGTGATGAAGATAACCAACTAACAAACAGCTGCAACAACCAGCGCCAGTCACCATTAACGGGAGAGATTTAATAGTGGATACTACTTTCACTTATCTAGGAAGCCTTGTTTCAAGCACAGGTGGCGGAATGGATGAAGATGTCAAAGCTAGCCAGAATCGTAAAGGCAAGGTACACCTTCATCAACCTGAAACAAGTTTGGAAATCTACTGCACTTCACTTAACATAAGGAACAAGATTTAGATTTTTTGCATGGAGGATTTAATCATGAGCTGACATCAGTTAGAGAACCACTGGAAAACCTGGGAGTACTGGACAGCTGTTTCGTCCTAGTTTGGGACTCTTCAGCAGTACGCACCCACCGGGATTCGAACCCAGGACCTTAGGTTACAAGGCGAGCTCGTAGACCATTGAGCCACTGGGACCCGATCCAATCGTCCTTGAATTCTAACTTCTGCCAATTCACGATCAATACTTGAAAATTTAGATTTTTAACACAAATATGAAGTTAGTCAGTTCTTCTGTATGGGTTAGAAATATAACCAATGCGTCAGGGAAATCAATAACACCAGGTTGCAGTCTTTTATCAACAGCTGCCTACATTGGCTCCATACTGAAGATCAAACGGCCAGAAAGAATTAGCAACAAGAAATGCTGGTGAAAAACCAACCAAGTGCCTATCGCTTAACAAAAATGTGGAAGAAAATGGAGTTGGAGTCAGCGTTCAATTCAGGACATTGCTCGAGTGGAATCTCAATGGAAATCTAGAATTCGGTCGTTGGAGGGTGACATGGAGGACATCGTGTGGGGAGGAAGAGATGTTAGATTATAGGTAATCGTGTAAGCAGCTGAATAGGGTAGCAGAAATTGGCAGAAAGTGAAGAAGTGTTGTTAAAACCCTACGTTCCACTCCGAACTCAAGAGAACAACGATAATAACAATAATCTTAGTAAAAGGTTTTGAGCATCGCTAAATTGATGCAACAACTTATTATAATTATAATAATTCGAATTAAAAACAAAGCAATTCCAACAGTTATTGTGACTGCGGGCAGTAATTTTTCATGTTAAATTACCAAAAGCAAAAATTTATCACTGTGTGTAAGCCATATAATTATAATTTAACAGTAATCTTTCTATGACAATTAAGTTGTGAGTATAATTCACCGCTGAACTGAGGCATTAAATAATCGAACAATATTTAGTGTATACCATGTGAAATATTGTCGTTTAGATACTTCATTAAAATTGAATGTACAATTAACATTACAAATTCTGAATACTTTACTCGCACATTTATATCTCTACAAAACGTAAAATCACTGAAACAATAACACTTTTATGATAGCATGTTTACTTTTGTAAACTTAAGGAGAAAAGGCTATTAATGACAATAAATAATTAAGTGATGGGTTATGTTTTGAAAAGAAGTACCCTTATGCATTTTAGACGTTTTTGTATATCAAGACATTATCTCATTATCCATAGAACACAGAAAGAAATGAAGTGAAGTAAGTGCTGAACTCATCTACTCAATATTTCTTCATTGAAGAAGAATGATTCACTCCAAACATCCCAACCTTTAGAGTTCATGGAGGCGCAAAAATTTTACAATTAGGCTTACACATTTAACAATCGTAAGTACTCTCTTCAGTGTTGTGTTATGCAAAAGTCACTTTCACAAATTGTATAGCTTGATTGTGTACTTTGAAGATTAAGATTTCCACAGATAATTAACGAAATGAATGTTACTCACTGCTTAGTTTACACAAGTGTTTTTCAAAACTGCATGTAATATACTGGACATAAACAGGACATAAAATTAACGTTAACAGATCTCTTAAATCTATCTATAAACCTTGTTTGGGGTGTATCCTAAAGTTTTTGGAAGCCATAGCTACCAATTAGGGAGTTTAAACCACCTTTATGCATTCAAAGCAACAATTCGTCATCACACTAAACCTTCTTTGGTAAACTTTGTTTCCAAACCATAGGAGATGTACTATTAACTTTGTTAATTGGTTTATTGGTCTTCATTGTTATTCTGACCTTCAATATGTCCTTTTAACTTGACCTATGTCTATTTTCTCACCTCGTAACTCTTTAAACTGAATATTCACGTAATTTATTCTTAACTGAACAAAAAACAATAGAGTTCAGTCTTCGCCTACCATGGGCCTCATGACCTATTTAAATATGATTGGTCATTAGTATGTACTTTTGTTTTTTATTTAACTGAGTAATTGTCATTATCTTTATTTTATTATTGTTAACCATGCTAGTTGTAAAGCGGTTGTAAAGATACTACGAAATGATATCATCTCGCGAAATTTGTCTTCTAAATAACAAATGCATTAATGAGCATCTTCCTTCATGGTTCGGAAAAGGTCAAATAAAATATATAAGAAGTTCTGTTTTCTCTCATTTGATTGATAGGGGTTATCAAGTGGACAAAAGTAGTGCCTTCAAATTCATCTATCGCATTCTACCGAGCCTTTCGAAAGGAATTCGATTCTGTCTTTTACACATAGGCGAAGCTATGGGAATTCGAGAGAACAATCCTAGTCTTTGCATACAAAAATGTTTGTTCCACCTTTGTCTCTATCTTGACCTAGATAAGGTCTAATTAAAACCCTCCCACCCTTTCTTATTTTCCATCTCCTTCGTACTTTTATGATATTTATTTAAACTCTGATTATCTGTCCACTTCACCTTTAGTATTACGTAACTTTTAAGATTTGACCTAATTTATTTATTGAATTGTCTACATATGCATATATTACTACCTTTGTTATTCTTTTCGCCACCTGCATAAACCTTATTATCAATATTTTGTTATCATTATAATCATCATTACTAATTACGTTCAAAATATTTACCACATTATTATTATCACTATTGTTATTATTTGATCCACAAAATCACCGTCACAGGTTAAAATTTTTTATATATAAATCTACGTAAATTAGAGTAAAGCCTGAAGAAGATCTAATTGAAAACAATATTGTTCGCTTATATGTCTTGTTCTAATATTAAAAATGGGAATATTTAAAGATTATTCTTAACTGTTTATTAATTTCATATATATTCCTATGACAAGTCTGTGTGATCAGATTGTTCGAAATGTGTTGCGCGAATACATTACACGATTCAGACAAATTACGTCTTTTTATTGCTTTGTCTAAATTCATAAAGGGAACTAATTGTTTTAGATTCTGTTTTTGTTTTTTATTCAATTCATAAATGAAAGATTCCTTTACCATTAGATTTAAAAAGTCTCACAAGTTCATGAGGGCTACAATCAAATTTTGTATTTGCATAACAAAAGCTAACTACAAAAAATAATGTTCATTTTATATTTTTCTTACCTCAAACTTTAGTTCATGACGTCCTTCAATCGAATAGGGATCAGATACCGGCAGCAAACTTAGTTCTCCTGAATTAGGATCAACCATGAAAATTTGCTTCTCATTTGATTCCTCAAGAAGATAGAAAGTTAACTGTGAATTGATACCTTCATCTGCATCTGTTGCTGTCAGCTTGACTAATGGAACTCCCTGAAATTTAAAATGAACGCGAATGAAACATTGGTTACTTAATGATTAAATAGGGTAATGACTAAGAAATAGTTCTTGAAAAAAAAGATTTACAACCGAACTTCGCACACTTCTGGAGAAGTTCAGCTATACTTTCTGAAATTAAAGAGCACAATATTTACTCTAAATGGATCAACTGTACCAAAAAAAGCAATTTTATTTTAAGGACGAAGAAATCAAGTTAAAGTAATTATTGCTTTTTAGAAACTAGAGAAATGCATTTTTCCATAAGATGCTTCCAGCTAAATCCTAATCACCGATTCCTGACCCTCACTTCAACTTAACTATATTTAGTTTGACCTTACCGTACCAATAATGTAACCCTAATTTCCGAATAACTTAACCGGCAATCAACCCTTACGCTAGCTCCTGTCTCTTAACCTCAGTCATATGACCATTTATCCAAACATGTAGATGAATTCTAACACGATAGTTGTTCTCGCAACAATTTTTAATATATGTACTCCATTTTATTTTTTCTATATGTCCTTGAGTATTTTTTGGTATATGGTGTTCTCCATGTGGTTGTACTGATCTACTCTTACTATTTGAATCACGGTCATCAATGTGCTAATTCGGTTAGGACTAACGATTTAACTTCGCCTTAATTATTTCATCCCCAATTCAGTATTGATAAACTCGATTTTTCGAACGTTTTAAAAATCCGTCACCGTAGCTGTTTTATATACTAAAAAGCTTTAAAATAGAATTTAAAAATGAAATTCTGAAGAATATATTCAGGTAACCGTGAAAGATTTTCCCTTACTAATGCCATGCTCTAAATCTCTTCGTAATGCAATCCAAATCTCACCAGAAACAACCCCAGAAGTGTTGCTAAGATGTGAATAAGTGTCCTCCAGATGTTTTATCTACATGCAGTGAAAGTGAGTGTTTGATTGCATGTAGGATTTCATCATGAGCTGACAACAAAACCCCTATAAAACCAATACTTGAAAATTATTCTGATGCTCACTATAGACTGGCCCTACTAAGGCAGTTTACCTGGGGTTCTAGTGGGAAACCGTGACCAGTAGGACACAGCAGGTTGAAGATGAGGCAGTAACTTATCAAAGAAGACATTGCGATATGTTCGCTCTCTATCCTGAGTTAGCGGAAGTAAGAATTCATGAACCATTGGATCGGGTCCCAGTGGCTCAATGGTCTATGGGATCCCCTTGTAACCAGAAGGTCCTAAGTTCGAATCCCGGTGGGTGCGTACTGATGAAGAGTCCCAAACTAGGACGAAACAGCAGTCGAGTACTCCCAGGCTTTCCTGTGGTTCTCCAAATGATGTCAGCTCATGATGAAATCTTACATGCAATCAGACAAAATCCCTACAAAACCAATACTTGAAAGTGAGTGTTATCATACACCTGTCTGAAATATTTTAATCTGCGGTATACATGTTTACAACATACGATAGGGTACAGACACTGTGGTGATCATCAAAATGGTTAACTTTGTTGTCGTGAATAATGTACATCACTAAATTAGAAAGAGTTTCCTGAATTTCGTGTATAAACTGTACTAACGTACTTGTGGATAGCTCGTTCTCATATTATATAAATACTGATACTGTAGCTTTTAAGATTGAAGTATTTATCGAACAAGAAGTAATCCTTAAACCATTTTTCGTATACTACAGGAAATATTACTGAAACTGAAATCTTAACACAATAGAAGCTTTAATTAACAATTGGAAGTTCATAATTCGTTTCAAAAAAAATAATAATGTGCACTAATAATTGTTTAATTCAACTTTTGACTGAACCGAAAAGTCTGACTTAAAGTAATATTAACTTATATCTGTTATACAATCAGTAAATCTCGTGGTCTATTGGGTACCGCTTTAGCGTTTAAAATAATGGGTACTAGGTTCGAGCCTCAGTGGAAACACCACCAATCAGTGGAAAAAGCAGGTCACTAGCAGTCACTATCTACCAAATTATTTAATGGACATTACTACAGGGAGTTTTAAATTGCTGACAGATAAAGTATTGAGTATTCCTGGTGGGTAAAGCTGTTTTTTTTTCACCGATGACTAGTAGGCTCTGTTGATCTTTGAGTTCAGCATCGAAGTGTAGCTAGCTTATGTACATTATTGAATTTATTTTATTTACTAGCACTAGTAATGTTTTTATTCTGAAATGCCAAATGAAGGTATTTCGATTCTTCAACGCATAAAAAAGAGCAGAGTTTTTAGAGAAAAAAAAACATTCAGGAGAAAAAGTTGTCTAAATTAATTATGGTCTACTGAAATACAACGTATTCATTCAGCAAAGAACATAGAAAGACAGACACATCAACTTTAAACACCTTTATCTAACTAACTAAATAACTTTGAACTAACATTTAAGCGTAATTTTCCTTTAGGCAATAGAAGCAAAAAATAAAAATAATACAAATCTAAATTAGTTTCATCATAAAGACATCAGTTGTTCATCTCATAGAAAAATACCTGTAGAAATGAAATTAAGGGTGGAGAAATAAAAAAAAAGAGAAACGAAAACTACGACCACCATTCTCCTCTTTTCTTCTTACTATAGATATACATAAATCAGATAGAGATTTGAACAGTGGATATATGTACATATGCAGATCTTTTATGTGTTCTTTTCTCCATCTTGCCAGCACTGAATCATACTGTAATAAACCGAAATTATGTGTTCCTGTTCACACATCTTACATTATTTCTTCGACGAACAGTTTCTTATTACTTCTACCTTTTTGTGAAAGTGGAACTATAATAACTGGTTTCTTTTTCGCATTCAACTAAATTTCTTACAGAAATAAATGTGAAAGTTGGAAATGCGCTTTAGGCTATTTTCAGTGTGATTGTACAATTGTATTACCAAGTATTACCAATAAGAAATTAGGTTTTCAGTTTCTAGTCTTCAAAGTGAATCATACAATGTGTTACTTTTATTTTCTACCGTATACTAACAATTTTCTTTAATGAATTAAGGGCCTTAATTTATGCATGAAGTAAATAAAAAGTAGAAAATAAAAAACTTAAAAACAATTTATAAATGTTGATTCTCAAATGAAATCAAAAGTGTTTTCTTAATTAAGAGTTAACATACAGAATAGAGAGTTGTAATTTCCTTGAACAAAGCAAGAGACCATTCTATTTCACAGCTCTTCTTCAACTGCTGTCTACATTAAATAACACACAAGTTAATAATGGTGTAAATATAAAACATACCTAAGAAGTTATTTCAGCTCAGAGGGCGTTTGAATAATTCTTAGTAAATTATTCAGATAAGAGGCATAACTCAGGGACCATGGTGATCATGAATGCGCCTGTTTTACATGAAGTCTCACCTTTGCACTTTGGCATGCTGAAGCCTGCAAAAACTCAAACTCATGGTTTTTGCCGTCGAGAAGTCTTCGGATCATCTCTTCATTGAAACTTACGCTATCGAAAACCTCTATTTTCTATAGTTTGGTTTGTAAGGATTAGTTATGTTTCTATGAGTTGGTCACGGATTGATATCAGTTAGAGAACCATTGGAAACTAGCAGGGAGTACTGGGCAGCTGTTGTTACATCCTTGCTACAGGATGCAGTTTCCTGGAGTTCTAGTGAGAAGTCGTGACTAGTGAGGTTCAATTAGATGTCAAGTGTGGGGATGGATATCCCACCGATGACATTAGTTGGTGGTCGCGCTAAATCACGAATTGGTAGAAGTTAGAATTCATGAGCCGTTGATTCGAGTCCCAATGGCTAAATGGTATACGAGCTTGCCTCGTAACCAGAAGGTCCTGGGTTCGAAACCTGGCAGTGGGTGCGTACTGCCGATGGTTCCCAAACTAGGATAAAACAGCAGCTGTCTAGTTCTCTCTGGTTTTCAATGTTTCTCTAACTGATATCAATCCGTGATCAACTCGTGAAAACCACTGTCATTGTTTTAAACTACAAAAGTATGACCTCTAATGAAATTGTTCAATTCAGTAAATATCTTTAATGTTTACAGTTTGCTGATTCGCAAGTTTCTGCTAAACTTAAGGAATAGCATAACCGTAGTTGACAGTGTATCTCAATACATAAAATGACTGTTCTTGACATTTTTAACACAAATGGTCAATCCCCAGAGAATAAAACTAACAACCTGCAGGTTTTAATCATGCACTTATCGAAGGGAACGAAGAAGAAATATCACAAAGGATTGATTTGCGCTTCCGATCAGATGATACTGCATCACGCGGTCTATTATCAATTATTACAATTTGAGATGAAGATCCTGCCGAGAATTCTGTACATTTTATGAGTACTGTTCAGAATGAAGTTATAATTTTTTTAAACAGAAGTAAAACTACGTAAACAAATAGCTGGGTAAATGTGAAATTTAATCATGAGTGAAAGTCAATATCAGGTCAAGATTCTACTTGACATAGCTCTTCACTCCCTTAGCCTCCCCTAAACTCTCGAACTTTCCATTATACTATACCCAGATGAACTCTGCTTGTTAGATCATTAACTATATAGTTGTTGTTCCATAATGTGGTAAGAATTCATAAATGTCCATTTGACCTGAAATAATTCTTCTTCTTATGTTTAAATTTATAATAAATTATGTGATATTTCAAGCTGATAACAGTTGAAGTAAAATCGTACAAACTAACCGCGCAAACTAAATAAGGAAATCAGGTGCATTAATCGAATTTAAGTAGTATATTTACGTATAAATATTATTAATGAAGGTGAGGACCTTAGTTTGATGACAGAATGAAAGGATTTGTCGAAATGAAAAAAACTTAAAAGCTTAGTGGTAATAATTATGAAGTAAACGTATAGTTATTAGGACTGATTATAAACAGCAAACGTGTTTCGTACACGTAGATATATCGGGATGTTGAACAAAGATACTTACTTGAATTACGTAACTTTCAAAGGTTCGTTTTTGGGGATTTCATTCACCTGATACTCTCTAATGATTGGCCACAAGATGAATATGCCTGCATTTCTAGTGAGAATTTAGGTGTGAGGAAAACTACTAGCTAGCTGATGGCATTTTCTGACGGTCATGCTAAAGTCGAGAATTCACTGAAGTAAGAATACGTGGGCCATAGATTCCGGTCGAAGTGGATGAATGGCGAATCAGTTCGACTTCGTAACCTGGAGTCCCTGGGTCCAAATCCCGGTGAATGCGTATTGCAGAAGAGTCTCAGACAAGGGCATAACAACTGTTCATTACACCCTGATTTTCCATCTTTCTCGAAATGATATGAATCCGCGACCAAACTTAAAATATTATTATTGTTCCCTTGAGTTACAAGTGGAACATAGGGCTTCAACTGCACGTCTCCCTCCACTTGCTTCTGTCTTACTTCTGCTGTACTTTTCACCTGCATCCATGTCAGTCAATACTGTTTCCACTCTTCTTAACACGATCTCCTCTATGTCACCCTTGCATCAACGACCCACTCGCCACTTCACTTTCGGCCTGGTTCCACTCGACCAATGGCCTGACGCGCGCTCTATGTCACCCAGTGGACTGCCTCCTCAATGAGTGTCCAATCCATCTCAATCCACTTTCTCCTGCATATTTGTTGGTTGGCGATTGTTTCTTGTTTTATTTGCTTGTTCACAGCCATAGTTTCTTGTTGGTGATTCTTTCCGGCCCGGCCATCTGACCTGATCTTCAGTATATAACCAGCGAAGACAGTTGTTGATAAAGGTCTGGTCTGCAATAGCCCGTTGGAAATATTCTTTGTGACTAGTCTGCCAAGTTTCTCATCCGTATAGGAGAACTGAGTTGAAGATTCGGTTTGAAGATCCGAATTTTGTTGTTGATGTTGGCTGAGTGACGACGATTTCCAAATTGGTTTCAGATTGATTAATGTGTTTCTCGCTCGCCTTCCCGATTCTCGCTCGATTTGACAGCCTCGTCCGTTCCCCCTTAAGTTGAGATAATGCTTCCTAGATAAGTGAATGAAGTAATCTCTTTCAAATCCCTCCCGTTGATCATCCTTATTTTGCTTTCATCGAAAGAATGCACATCGGCTGACTGGCTTCCTGAAGGCTTTCACCAGCCTGCGTCATTTCACTACCCCGATTTCAGCGAAAAGTAAGGTTATTGTTTATATTTTTAGTATTTTTAATATATTTATGTTGACTGGATCTGGTTGTTGCTGCTGTTGTTGTTTTTGGTTGGTTATTTTCATCACCTCCGTCTTGTCTATGTTCATCTGGAGTCCTGTCTTTACTGCTTCTTCGAACAGTTTGTCGGTTTTCGCTTGTAAGTCTTCGATTTTGTTTGACATCAAACATAAATCATTCACACGCGAAATCCAGGTCTTCTGGGTTCTTCACGTCGGTTCAGGATATCCCTGTTTTCTCATTTCCTACTGTCTGACGCGTCATCCAGTCCACCACAATTAGAAATATCATTGGTGATAATAAGCCAGCACCCTTGTCTGACTCCTGTGTTTACTCCAGACGCTTCACTGAGTTTTCCGTTGTGGATGACTTGACATGTGCCGTCGTCGTACAGCTGTTGAATAAGGTTGATGAATATTTGGGGTACGCTGTAGTACTCGAGTAGTTTGGCGTAAATTTAAAATAAATTATTCCATTTAATTATTCCTTTGATATTTTGACTATTAAGATGACAAGATAATATAATGATAGTGGAAAACAAAACTCACAGGATTAGTGAATACTGATGCATAAACTGTGTGATTACTATGAGTAGGATAAACAAATTTAGGTGCATTATCATTGACGTCATGAACTTTAATATGAACTTGACATGATGAGCTATGCTTGGGAATTCCATTATCAGTTGCCACCACCTGAAATAAAGACAGAAAAAAAACATTGATTCAGCTTTAGTTTGTATAATTGATTCACCGGTTATCTCCATTCAAATAATACAGTTAGTTAAGGAAGACAAAACTCTGTTAAAGAGAGTCAGCAGTCAGAAGAATTTTTTTTACAATCCAAAACCTTTACCAGTTTGCTACATTTCATTTGTTACAGATGTAAGAAAACTTTGTAAGCAATTAATTGGTGGATGGTGACTAGAAGTGGAATCCAAGATGCACATTTCGTCCCATTTTCGGACTCGTCATCTGGATGCACCTGCATTTCACAGTGAGTGATGATATTCCCACCGAGGCTCTAACCTTGGGCCTATAGTTTCAAACGCCGAAGTGTTATCCCCAAGATCACTTGGGCCACGAGAGCCAACTCTTGTGCGCATCGTTGATTCCACTGCCAGTCAACATCCTCCAATTAAACTCTAATTAAATGCCGAGACATCGTCGAACCGTCTGCACAAGAAGCTGACATGTCCACCTGAGACCGGGCACTTTGGTCCAATCAATCGATGGGAAAATCAAAAATTCAATTAAATTTCTATGTATTTGTCTTCGAAAGATAACAAGAAAGGGAAGTCTGCAGATATGATTATCAAAATAACTTTACTCTAGAATAGTTATGCCGGGATTTAGCAGCTGATATTTTTTTGTAACTTCAACTAGTTAGTTGATAAGTTAATTGTTATCTGTCATAAGTTTGCCTATTTATATTACAGTGACGCCTAAAGTTCGTTCATGCTTTCAGAAGTAAACTACTTTTGTCGTTGTTCTTGTTGTTTGAAAATCCCCATTGAATTATATGAAAAAGAGAAGACGATCAGCGAAGTGACTCTTTACGACGAATTCATTCACATAGCTGTACAACCGCACTTATATATTATTCAAGTGTTGGTTATATATTATTATTTGTGTGTGTGTACATGAGATTTGTCAAGTTTAGACAATTAGTCAGGTAATACAAGAATGATCTATTATAGAAACAAGGTTAATCAGACAGCAACTAAAGTAAGATTGAGTTAGTAAGTTAGATGACGTAATATAATTGACTAAAATGTTTCAACTTAGGTCTGGGTAGCAAGAGAAGTAATTACAGGTAGAGACTAAGTAGAAGTGGGGTAGAGAATAATGCCATTTAAATTAGAACTGAAATTTAGCAAACAAGTTGGATGACGTAACATAAATGACTAGAAACTGAGCATTGGTCAAGTCAGAAACAGTGGTAGTGAGGTGTAGAAATTAAATCGGGGACGGGGGTTAAGGGAACAAGAAATTTGAAAATGCAAAATATTACAATTGAGAAGATAAAATAATACTATTGAAGAGACAGAAGAAAAAAAAGGTTATGTAGAATTTACTTTTCAGGTAATAAGATAGATTACATCCATTGCAAGTGTAGTGATTGAACGAACTTCTTCCGTATGCAGAGTTCAGGGCTCTGCAAGTGAATTGCCATTGCTTCTGCATTTTGGAAAAGTCTGATTCGTACACCTTTAGGAAGACTACTACTTACTCCGCAGCCGACTTTGAAGTTTGTTTGGGGTGTAGCTTGGTGTCCAGATTCTACCAGGTGTTCTAAGATGGAACTGTGGGGACATTGTTTTTCTCCTTTGTAAAACCATGTTGGTAAGTGTTCGGTAATACGTTTGGAAAGCGAACGCTGGGTACAGCCAACATACCTGGCTCCACACGAGCAGGTGAATTGATAAATACGCATTGATGAGGCCAGCAGTGATAGCTTATTTTTCACGTTCACATGAGTCATAGGTTTCGTGGAGAAGGTTATTTGTAGTTCAGCTGCGAAGAAGATCTTCTTAAGTGAGCGTGACAGTCGATTTTTTAGTGTTTCCGAAGATATATCTCCATTGAATTGAAGGTTCATGTAGAGTAGTTTTTTCGGGGCGCTAAGCATGGGCGGATTTAATGGTCTACTTTCATCGTGCTGGGTCCCAGTGGCCTAATGGTATATAAGCTCGCCTTGTAACCAGAAGGTCCTGGGTTCGAATCCCGGTGGATGCGTACTATGGTCTAGGATTCATAGATTTTTCAATAAATCTTTCTGGAAAACAATTCTCGACTGGGATTCTCTTGAGATTGTCCATTTCGTCTTTAATTGTATTTGGGGTACAAATTCTGAGAACTCTGTAGCTGAGTAAACGGATCAGGTTTCATTTGGTGTATAGGGGTGCCAAACTGTGAAAGTTAGTAACCTGTCCGTTCCACGTCGACTTTCTGTAGACAGATCTTTCCAGTGTTCCAGCCTGTTCTCGTCTTGTTAGTTGGACGTCAAGAAAGGATATTTTGGAGTTGGACTCTTTCTTCAGCTTGAACTGAATCGAGGGGTGGCAGTTGTTAAATCACTTCCAGAAGTCGTTTAGATTTTCTTCATTGTTGACGATAATGAAAGTGTTGTCGACGTATCTCTTATAGATTTCGAAGGTATCAATCATTTTCTTCTGGCATGTGTTTTCCACTTTTGCCATGAAGAAATCTGTAAGCAATGGGCCTATTGTTAATCCCATAGCTATATCATCCTTTTGTCAATATATTTCGTTGTTGAAAGGGAATTTGAACATTCAGGGCACACCTGGGTACACCTCAGTAGGAGTTGAAAGTTTTAAAGAATGATAAGTAATCCGTTATGGCTGAGAATAAAAACATTCAGAAAGTTGGTATTTGAATGTCAGCAGTCTGAATATTTTCCACCTACTTAAGTTCTTTCACTTAATGAGTGATTTACTGATTTTTCTGATTATTTTATTATGCATTATCCAACTTCGAATAAAGTTTACTTTACTTCACAGACTGTGAGACAATTAAAACTTAAATATTTTGGTCTGAATGGCGTTGAGCAGCTTCATAGCTCAAGACTGTATTGGGTAAAAAAGAAGTACTTAGAGTCAAATCAAGTATTCTCAATAAGGTGGGTTCAAACCTCTGTTTGCGTGCATCAACCATACCAAACACTTTTCACTCTTACATTTCAAGGTGAAATAGTCTCCACAACATTGCCTGCAATTCATTCATAAAAACAAAATAGTATTCTAAAAGCAACACGTTGTCATTAACAGTCTACCATCACCCAAAGGTTAAGTTAAACATTAAGAGCAGGAACCAACCACAAACAAAGAAAAATAATAAATAACTGAAAAAAATGTTCACACACTGTAGGGGGGGGGAAGAGGGATGATATTACTGCAAACAAAACCCGCAATCCATCAAAGAGACTCCTTTTGGTGAATTCATTTTCTTTACCTGTGCAATCGAATTTACATACCACTTCTTCATCAAAGAGGCTGGTAAAAAAGTGGCGAACTCTCAAAATTATAGTTGTTAATATTAGCTTATGCTTACATCTCATCCAACAGTTGTACGACAATGCTGCATGCCAAACAATCCACAACGGGAAACTTATGGAATTCTTCGAAGTGAAGATGGAAGTAAGACAAGGTTGCCTACTATCACCAATGATTTTCCTGATTGCAGTAGATTGGATAATGCGACAGAGAGCGGCGGGCAATGAGGAAACAGGCATAAAATGGACTCATACAAAAAACTTGGATGATCTGGATTTCGCCGATGATAAATGTCTGATTTCCCACAAACTGGAAGATGTGCAACTGAAAAGCGACAAGTTGGAAGAAGAAGCATCAAAGATAGGACTACAGGTGAACATAGATAAAACAGAGGTGATAAAGATTTCTGGCCAACACCAACAGCAACAAGAACAACCGACAACAATCAGCATAAATGGGAGGAACCTGAAAGAAATAACCTCCTTTACCTACCGACATGGGAAGCATCGTTCCAACTACAGGCGTAAGTGATGAGGATATCAAAGCGAGAATCGGAAAAGCAAGACAAGCTTTCGTTACTCTCAAGTCTGTGCAGAGGTCAGTGGCATTAAGCATTCAAACCAAGATCCCGATTTTCAACTCCAATGTGAAGTCAGTGCTACTATACGGATGGATCAGAGACTTGGCGTGTCATAAAGAGCATCTTGAACAAACTTCAGATCTTCATTAACAGTTGTCTTCGCTCATTACTGAAGATCAGATGGCCGACCGGAAAAGATCAGTAACACGGATCTCTAGGAGCGAACCAACCCAGCAAGAACCGACTGTGCAACAAATAAGCAGGAAGAAATGGAGATGGATTGGCCATACTCTGAGGAAATCATCGAGTGACATCACTAGACAAGCCATCGCTCGAGTGGAACCCGAAAAGGAAGCGGCGAGTTGGACGTCAGTGCAAGGGTGACGTGGAGGAGGTGATGTCAAGAGGAGATGAAAACATGTAGGCAGACTTGGAGCCAGGTGAAAACTATAGCAGAGAACCGAACACAATGGAGATGCGAGGCTGAAGCCCTATGTTACGCTAGGAATTAAGGGAATAATGACGCTTAAGAGAAGTTGAATAAGTGCATTAGAGTCTCATGGTAGGGTGAATAATTTAATAAATGAGCTGTAAACAAACCGCACATAGAAACGAAAGAAAATATGGAATTATGGAGACCTAAAGAAATACAGGATTTATAAGGAGTCAGAAGAAAAGCAAAAATCAGCAAAATCAACAACAAGAATCGTCTAGGTTGGTACTGCGATTGTAGAAGTGGCTGAATAAATTTTTATATGTACAGCTCCGGTTTCTCTATCTAAATGGCTTAAGCTTCAATAGAGCGGAAGAGGTGACAGCGTATTGCTCTATTCAAGTTGCTATTCACTTTGTAAATTACTTTGCTTCAGGCGTTCATTGAGATGGAATGACCAGTGTTGATGTGGTGTTCAATTATTATACTCCTTTTAGAGCCACTGCTGCCTTTCCGCAACCATACAAGATAGTGTGCTTGAAATCTTTTAGACAGCACATGATTCGAGCGACCAAAAACATCTGGTTCTAGAAATGTAGGTGAATTGACAAATGGACACAGAAGTATTCAGTGGCGATATCTTCTCCTTAATGCTTTTGTAAACCGATGAATGCCAGGAGAACACTACACTTAGTGTTGCTGCTAAGAAATTTCTTCCCAGAAGGGACTAAATATTGCTCAGGTTAAATCTCCCTTGGAATTCAGGTTCGTGTGAAGGCTCTTTTTTGGATTAATTCATATTTAGTCTCTCTGAATTTAAGGTTTGATATTCTTGTCGATAAATCGTGATAAGTATCCATTTTGGATGAAGATTTCTTCCAGAAGACACAGTACTGCTTCTAGAGAATCTGAAGTATAAATGCATTGGATCCGAGTGACAAAGGATTAAATTAAGTTTCGTTTTCGTTTAACAAACACCCAAATGTAGAAACTCGTTAGTTGACAGTTCTAAGTGGAAATCCTATGCACTGATCTTAGTTTCGTCAAGTCTTCCCGTTAGTTCCACATCAAAAAAGAATATTGGATTCTTTTTCTATTTCAAGAATAGACTTTATCTCCAGACGGTAGTTCTTGAATCCCTCTACCGATTGACTGATGTCATAACTATTATCGTTAATGATCTAAACGTTTGAATAAGAATCATTTATGAATTAAAAAACAGCAATGATACACATCTGGCGCCAATCACCATCAACGGGAGGGATTCGAAAGAGATTACTTCATTCACTTATCTAGGGAGCATTATCTCAACTTAAGGGGAACGGACGAAGCTGTCAAATCGAGCGAGAATCGGGAAGGCGAGCGAGAAACACATTCATCAACCTGAAACCAATCTGAAAATCTTCGTCACTCAGCCAGAATCAACAACAAAATTCTGTCGGGTTTTCAATACAAACAACGTTAAGTCAGTCAGCTCTTCTATGCCGATCAGAAACTTGGCGGGCAGGTCACAAAGAATATCTCCAACAGGTTGCAGACCTTTATCAACCAACAACTGTCTTCGCTCTATGCTGAAGATCAGATCAGATGGCCGGGCCGGAAGGAACAAACGAAACAAGAACCAATCGCCAACCAACAAATATGCAGGAGAAAGTGGATTGAGATGGATTGGACACTCATTGAGGAGGCAGTCCGCTGGGTAACATCGCGCGCGCGTCAGGCCATTGCTCGAGTGGAACCCGAAAGGGAAGCGGCGAGTGGGACGTCAGTGTAAGGGTGACATAGAGGAGATCGTGTTAAGAAGAGTGGAAACAGTATTGACTGACATGGATGGAGGTGAAAAGCACAGTAGAAGACAGAAGTAAGGAGAGACGTGGAGTTCAAGCCCTATGTTCTACTAAGAACCCAATGGAACAATACTATTATAATTATATTATGATATACAGGTCAAACAAAAAGAAGTATTGATTTCACACTATGGTGAAATATTCATACAATTATCAATATTATAAATAGTTTATTCAGGATGCATTTTCCATGAATTACTATGCTATATGCCGCGTTAATTTTATCAGCGCACGACAGCAAACGCAAAAACCGTAAACTTTTCTTGCAGCCAATACTAGCCCTTGACAAAGTCAAAAAACAGCTAAGTCACGCACAGAATGATCAACGAAAAATCGACAGTAGTTTATTCTCCATTCGAAAAGTGTTTCCAGATGTAACATAATAAAACTTGAATAAGATATCATAGTATATTGATAAAACAGTGGCACTGATATGAATTTAGTCTTTACTTTTATAGGTAATCTAAAATGTCACCACTGATGATCAGCTTGTATACCGGAATGCTTTTTCGGTATAACAGAGTTGTGTATTTTCAGTATTTTCGAAGATCTTTCATATAGGTTTCTTTGAAATATAACACAGTGATGCGTTAATAACAACTGGGTAACGTTTCGAGAAGAATTTATTGCTTACAATCACACCAGTTAGTTACACAGCTTCATGATTCGCTTTACATTTATCCTTTTTCCCTTCTATCTCCTTTCTGTATTGTTTGCTGCTACTTTGCTTATCTCCAGTATAGGCATTGCGTTATCCAGCTAATAATAATGCATCACTTTGTGATATTTTCCATAAACTAATCTAACATGCAATTACATTCGAACACAGTGCCCAAGTTCCAGACTTACATTAAATCTTGATAAGAATATGCATTAAAAACTTGTAGATAGTTTGGTTTTCATTAATTCGGTATTAGTCAGTTATTCTAAACAAAACAGCCTTGTGAAGTGCTTTGTCAATCATCCTTTTAATAAAAAATAATTCTGCAAGATTTGGATAAACAGAAGGAGCAATACACAGTTTCACGTATTTCAGGAAAGTAATTACTAATGATGTGTGATGCAATTTTTAGGATAAGCAGCGTATGATTTAACCATGAAATCAATTTAAATGCAGTACAAATGCTACTGACTCCTCTTTACTACGTGCATCAAATTTATATAACTCTTCGTTGAATTAATATAGATATTTTATAAGTGCAGAGTGAATATAGCTATATATATATAAAATTAGTGAAGAAATGCTAAGAACTTGCGTTGAAAAAGTAGAAAATTAAAGGCCGATTTGATAATTAGCGATTATCACTTTTAACGGAATATTTCTAGTGGTAATTAATTTTTTTGTAAGTCTTAAATGATCTTAGCGTTTCTACTAACTTTCCTCTAATTTATTTCACTCTCTGTCTCGAGAAAGACTGTTTTATAAACACAGTACGAATCAATTTTTAAGTCAACATTTAGAATGAATGAATTCAGAACTGAATAGAAATGTTTTAATTGAATTTTAGATTTTCCCGTCGATTGATTGGACCGAAGTACTCGGTCTCAGGTTGACATGTCAGCTTCTTATGCAGATGCTTCGACGATGTCTGGGCATTTAATTAGAGTTTAATTGGAGGATGTTGACTGGCAGTGGAATCAACGATGCGCATTTCTTCCTATTTAGGAATCGTCAGTTAGATGTTCCTGCTATGCCCATACATCGTCGAAGCATCTGCACAAGAAGCTGGCATCTCAACCTGAGACCGAGCACTTTGGTCCAATCATTTGACGGGAAAATCTAAAATTAAATTAAATTAACATGATCCGTTGCACAAGAGGTGGCTCTCGTGCCCAAGTGGTCTAGTGGATAACGCTTTGGCTGGTGTTTGAAACTATATGGGCACTAGGTTCGAGACTCGGTGGGAACATCATCACTCATTGGGAAATGCACGTACATCCAGTGACGAGTCGCAAATAGGACAAAATACGCATCATGGATTCCACTGCTATTCGCCATCCACTAATTGAATTCTGATTAAAAATGTGTTTGTTTTAGTATGAAAGAGTAGAAATATGAGCTTCTACCTTTTAAAGCAAGTTCTTTTTTATGCAATAGTCAATTTAAAATGAATTAAGCAAAAATAAACTTTGATGAATCTCGTTCATTAACTCTGTGATAGTAGCAGTGGTCAATTGGTCCACACAAGAAAAATCAATGAAGTCATTAAAAGTGAAAACAGGAATAAGGCAAGACTACCTACTGTCATCCATGATGTTCTCGATCCCGGTGGACTGAATCATGCGTCATTCTATGAAGGGCGAGAAGACAGGAACAAGTTAGACCGATAAGAAGAGTCTAGAATATCTGGACGTTGCGGATGATTTAGGTCGAATGCCACAGAAACTCGAACACTTACAGGAGGAAGTCAACGCACTGACAGAAGAGACAGACAAAGAAGATAAGACCATAAGCTAACAGAGATAAGAGAGAGACAATGGTGCTAAGCAACCAACAAAGTGCACCAATCATCACCAAAGGCAGAAATCTAAGGAAGTCATTGATTTGACTTATCTAAGCAGCATCGTTTCGACTACAGACAGTCAACATAAATTGTAATGTGACAACCATGATCAGAAAGGCAAGATAAACATACATCGGTCTGAAATCAGTGTGGGGGTCTACCGCTCTAAGCATAAGGAGCAGGATTTGGATATCTGACATTAATGTCAAGTCAGTCAACGCTTCTGTACGGTTTATAGACTGGGCGCATCATCAAGAGCATTTCCAATAGGCTACTGTCGACTTTTGTCAACAGCCACCTTCTCTGACTACATACCGCAGATCAGATGGCTAGTTAAGCAGGACTAGCAACAGAAAAGAATAAACCAGGAGCTTACTGCTAATATCCATACAGAGGAAAATGTAGGTAGCTCGATCACACGCTGTGGAGACAATGGAGTGACATTGCACACAATGCCCAAGCGGGGGACCCGAATGAGCAATACCGAGTTAGATGTTCGAATGTGACACAGAAGAGATGGTATGGGGAAGGGATTAAATCTTATGGACAGTAGAAAAGACATCTAAGAAGGACTTTAGAAAATAGAATGAAATAAAAACGTGGTGTTGAGACCTCATGCCTCTTTCGAAACCGAATGGAATAATGCTAATGCGCCAGTATGATATCTTTTACAAAGCAGAATTTGTTTTCTTATTTGAATCAGTACCTGGACAAAGCAAATTTATTTTGCATAACTAAATTTTAAATCACATTCTGTTATTTGCACATTGTTGGTGGAAAACATTTTGTAATTGAATTTTCCTCGCATAAACAATTCAGACTAGAAATCGTTTATTTATTTCCTAAACACACACATGTGATTCACACCCAAATATAATTTTTTTTATAATACACTGTTTAGTATCAAATTCAATCTGATGATATGGGCAATGACGAGGCTGTGTTGCGAACAACATAAAAAATAGAATTATTTATCAAAACAAAATTATTGAATCATATTTAAGGCTAAGCTGTTACTTTTAAAGATGAATCAGAAATAACAAACACTTCTTATTTCAAGTGTTTCACTTCATTTTTATCTCACTTCTTCCCGAATATACACGGGTATGAGCCTAGTGAATAGAGTTCATGTAAATAAAGATATTTTAAAAGCAATCGGCTGACTTACTTTAAAAGCATAGTTATCGAGTTTTTCCCGATCCAATGGCGTACGTAACCATAATGTTCCATTATTTCTGTCAAGTTTAAATGTTTTCATTGCATTACCCTGGAAAGTATTAAAAAAAAAGGTGAACATGGTCATTATATATTAGCCTAGACAAAGTCATTATTAAATGTGTACATTAGAAATGTAACACTTCATTCCATTTCCATAACATCTAATCTCCTGATTACATTAGAGTGTGTCGGTTGGTCTCCGACTGCACATCTGTTAAAGTGCTTCATACTAGCGCAGCAAAAGTCGATTGATCGTATCGTTATGTTGCTAGGCTCCCTGAATCGATGAACACAAATCTGTATACACTGGCTTAGAAGAACTGATGAATGCATTTCGTTCATAAACACATTTAGATTAACAGATAACACCACTATATTGAGGATCGCGTTCATGATCAATTTGTTTCCTCCTCTTAACTGTTGTTGATTGCATTATTTTATCATATTGCCACCCGTATGGAACATAGCGCTTCAAGTTTGAGTTCGTAAATTCCAGTAGCAGTGGTTTTCATTGTTCCCACACCTAACCTTCTCTCTTTACCGGGATCATTATTGACTGACTAGGCGAGATTTAGGAGTGTTTTGGCGGGGGATCCTAAATGGAAACATTTGTGGTGTGTTTGGTGATTGTTCTACCACTGTGTTTTCAATGTCTGGGGAAAAATGGAAAACCTGTCCAAAAATGGCTAGGAAACTTCAGGACATTCTCTCAACGAACAGCTTCATTTCCATAGGTGCAAAGGGTTCGCCAAATTATATTTGAGGATGGTAAACCATTGACTTCTGATTTTATTAATAAGGTATAACTACTAAGAGTGAGTAGAGTGCAGTTAGTTTCCGTTGTTGGGTTTCACATTCGTTTTTTTTGGCTCATGAAGATATTTGACAAAAAATCTGTTGAAATATATTCGTGCATTTTTTGAGCTTGATTTGGTTCGATTTACGGGTTAGTAGACTGCTTGAGTATGTGTGGTATTTCAAAATTTCAGGCGCATCAGAAAAATTATGAAATAAACCACTCTTGTGAGAAACATACAGCTGACGGATACTCTCTTAATATCATTACCAGGCTATATTTATCATTTTCGGGCATAAATATATACGAAATCCCAAATGCATCTGTTGGTATTCTGTGGAAAAGGCAAATAAGATTTTCTATAGTCTTTTTTGTTAAAAAAATTCAAAATCAAATTGTCTCTTATCAGGATCATTTATTTATCTTTTGTTTGAGCCAGGGATTTATTTATCTACTAAATAAACTTCCTGATAAATACATTTACTGTATGGTTAACGCGAAAAATCCATATGTTGGTTCACACGTCATGTTCTCATTCACTCTGGTTGCCTGATTGGTATGATAATAATTGTTTGCACTTTTACACAAATTATAGAAAGTACCCACCCTATACTCCAAAAAATCATCAATGACAAGATCAACGAGCCTACAGTGGTGAAGTATCTTTGACATACACATCATATGATTCTGTGGACAATATTTCTAAAATTTGTGTCAGGTAGACTAAACCTCATTCTAAAACAATTGAGCATTCGAATAATTTTAGTTTCTTATTAAATGTAATGTATTGTTTGAATATTCTAGATTGCTTTGGTTCATTTTGAAATTACGTGTTTCCGCCATATCTGTAATCAAGTGCATAGCTAATTTATTAGTGAACCCGTAAACTTGCACACCTTTTTGAATGTATATAAAGCAAGTCTTAGGTATTTCGTTAATTTAGAAATCAAACCAAACATTTCTTCTTGATTAACTATCCAGGTGTGTTGTTGCTATTAGATGGTTGGAGGCAATCGACAAGAAGCTTTAGACCTAGGGTTCATGCTAGTTGGCAATCGTCATTAAGGCGTATCTGCAATCTTGAAGGAACTCATGTCCCTATGGAGATTCAAACTCGCATCACCCAGTGCTGCAGTCACAGACGTTACCAGTGAGGTTTTCAGGCTCGCGATTGACCTCCTGTAGGAGGTTGCACATACGCATTGCTGATGAGTGCCATCCAGCACGAAATCCAGGTCTAAGGCTTTCTGCAGATAGCTTCCAACCATCTAATACCAATAATTCACGGTGCACCTTGATGGTGAGCCACCTACCATGGTGTCCACATTGCATATTTAACTGATAGAATTCAGTCTGCACTGAGGATAGGACTAGATACATTACACTAGTGAGTGACTAGTGTTCAGTCAAAAATATACAGGTCTGCACTGGCAGCCTGCCTAAATCACTGGGTTACCCAAGTTTTCCACCCATCAAAATGCATTGCATTTCCTTCGTTTCTAAATGTTCTAATCTTCTGTTTACCACAGTGAGTCACAATCCATACTCGCGCATAATTTAAAACAAGTTTTTAGCCTTCATTAGGCATTTTTTGACGAGAACGAAGGAAGAACACTGTAGAGTAGCATCAGATTATTGTTCAGGTGAAACAGCATTCCTTCAGATGATATATTATCGATTATATGACTATTTAAAGATTCTGCACAAAGAGTGAATATCTTGTAAAGAAACTCACTAAAAATTCTGTATGGTGTATGAAAGGATTTTGTAGAATAAACCTATTATTATTATCATTCTAAAAGTTGAGGAAATAAGCACTCTTGCTCAGCCATTCAAGAAAAAGGTAGTTCGCTTTCACAGTCGATGTATGGACAGCATTTAACCGCATTCCAATATAACATCAAAATCAACATTCACTAATTAAATGAAATAAGAGCACCTTAAAAGTTATATAAAACAGAAAATTTTGTTAAATTCTACAGGAAGTACATGAAAATATTTAGTGGTTTTCATCATCATAATATTTTATAATGGAAACCCATCAATGATTTAATTTTATTCCTCTGAGTTCCTGATGGAACGTAGAGCTTCAAGCTAGAGCTTCGATATTTCAATAACGATGGTGTTTTTTAGCGGGATGGTGTTGCTAGCCTCATTACCAACCTTTCCTCTTTAACTGGCTTACTACCGGCTAAGTGATGTAAAGCAATGCGTTGGCTGGGAGTCGAACACCAGACCCTTTAGCTTGCTTGGTTGACGTACCACTACACCACTCGCGCAATATATTTTGATGTTGAGGTAGTTATAACTTTTGTTATTTTTAAGTCAACAAAGTAAAAACAAAAAACTTCCTATTCTCTATCAAAGATATACTCAACATATTTATTTATACACATTTAGACGAGGGCAATGTAATAAAGCTATACAAAATGATGCATTTTGCTTCTAATCTTACATTCCACCTTTATTATTACCGTTATAATTTACCACATATTAAAAAAATATAATTATTATTTTATATTAAGGTGTGAATTAGAAGAAGAAAGATAGGTAGGAACTAATTTTACATTTGGGTGTAGTTTTTTTTCCTTCATCTGATTTATAATACTATGGTGTCCTGCCTTATTTGTATTCCTTTTCACGTATGAAGGTGTATGGGTTTTGGTGTGTGTGTGTGTGTGTGTGTGTGTAGCTGCTTCAACATGTAATCAATCCCCTCATCTAAATGATTTATTTATCATAAGTATTCTTATATACACACATTTATTTATTTCCCTATTCATCACGTAGTGACATTTTTTTCTCTTTTCTTTTCTTTAGTTCTTTCCTTCCCTTTTCTCCTCTCATCTCTTCTCTTCTCCGTAGAGTTCGTCAAATTATCTAGAAACTGAAGTAAAAAAAGGACCAGGCATAAATTCGTGGATATGCATAAGCCCTCAGTGAGTGTTTCTTTTTCATGATTATTATTATTATTATAATATCCCAGTTAGGCCATTTCATTTGTAGTTAATTACTTCCTGTCACGATTCACATGTATATATATATAATGTGAATTCGGTGATATATTTACGCTAATTATAAGGGGCTTATTTTAACTTGAATAAAGATATAAAAATTTTTATGATATTCACATATATGAAAAGAATAGTTAAAATAATCGATTCTACCCTTAAGTTGTTAGACCTGGTAGTAGTATACTACATCATTGGTCTGCTGAAATGTATATATATATATATATATATATATATATATATATATATATATGAATATCACATTCAATCTTAAAATAATCAGGTAAAAGTAAGCCATCTATGGTAAAGCCTCAAAAAGCCAGAAAAATACGGATGGGATAAAATCATCAGTTCACCGTAAAAATATGCTTTGAAAAAGAAGGGAAACACGTAACATGAAACTTTCACCTCTTTTATTTATTCTTGCTACTGTTCATGCTGGATATTATTCCTTTTTTAAGGTAGGGAAATATATCCAACCTTACAAAAGATCACTCATATTTATTTTTAAAAATGTATACCTACAGTCTTGCCCCTTTCTCAATTGTAAATAAATTAATTGAGAAACAATAAATAGTCTTCTATTCACACTATTCCTTCTTTTTCTCATTCTGCATGAAATTAGGTCATATACCAATAAATAAATAATTTCATCTGTTAATTTTCTCACCTCTTTTCTGTCCAAAATCTTATGCTTTCTAGAAGTAGCGTATTAAGTACGATAAAGGTGGGAGTGAGAAAAATTTTATTCTCAAAACAGCTGAAATATATTTTTCTTCAACAATTATCTAACTCATTGTGTGCGATAATAATAACAATAATAATGTTATTTATAAAAATACAGTAATTCACTATGTGAGCACCTGTTTTTATGCTTAAATCAGTTAGAGTGTAAACGTTAATCTCTACGCTTGTTATTCTTATGGTTGTTAGATGGTTGGAAGCCTTGCCAGGACCTAGGTCTTTATTGCTAGCTGGCACTCGTCAGCAAGGTGTCTCTGCAATCTTGAAGGAACTTATATCCCCATCTGTGATTTGAACCCAGCTCAACCAGTGTTGCAATCACAGAAGTTACCACCAAGGTATTCGAGCTCGCGATTGATCTCCTGTAGGACTGCAACGGATACTTTGATCAGACACTAGTTAATAACTAGTGCAAGGAATCTAGTTCATTGTTTGGTGCAGTGCACTTTGAACTGTTGATCCTGGATGATTGGAATCTCAAAGTAAACATGATTTGCT